GTTGCACCAGGGGAGGGTTAGATTGGATATTAGGAAAAATTTCTTCACCGAAAGGGTAGTCAGGCATTGGAACAGGCTGCCCAGGGAAGTGGTTGAGTCCCCATCCCTGGAGGTATTTAAACGACGTGTAGATGTGGCACCTAGGGAGATGGTTTAGTGGTGGACTTGGCAGTATCGGGTTTATGGTTGGACTCAATGATCTTAAAGGTCTTTTCCAACCTAAATGATCCTATGATTCTATGATTCTACTTCAGCTATATGTCAGGTCATTTTAAGATACAAAACACATAGTGGAGACAGTGGAAGATGCATGGCGTAGGAATACTCTTTCTAGCATCTTTTAAAAACACCTTAATCACCTGTAAAAAAATACGAAAAAAGAAAAAAACCCACACTTAATTTGCACCAGAAACAACAGCACTCACAGAGTGCTTCTGTTTTGGCTATCAGAGTTTGTTTAATGAAAACATATATCTATATTTAGTTGTGTAAAGGCTGGAATTTAGCTCAGGTTATCTATCGCATCCTCCTTATGACACCTTCTTCACCTTCATTTGCCTTTAAAAAATTCCTTCCCCTTGTTGGTGACTGCACAGGAGCTCAGAGTTATGGATTCTGTATAATAAAAACTTGTTGTCAGAGTTGCCTGCTAAAGACATGTTTTTCTGAAAAAAAAAAAATTGTTGTTTGAGGGGAGAAATAAAAGTGTTGGTTGGAGTTCTTTCATGCCGAAATCCCTTTCTAGTATATCTCTTCAAATAATATTTTTTTAAAATGGCACATTTATGACCAGGTTCTTGAGTATCAAAGGCTTATGTTAATTAAATTTGAGTCATTTATTGATCAGCATTTCAGTGGTAGCAAATCAGGAAATTTTAACTACCCCTATCAGTTCTGGTTTCTAGGTAACTTCCTAGAGGGTTTACTCATCTCAGCTTCGTTAGCATGTTATTATCTACAGATATCAATTTTTTTATTATACAGAGCCTGAAACTAAGTTCTCTGCTTGGTTTGCCAAAGTCAGTTTGTCTACACTTTTTATACAGGATTTAACTCACTTTAGCTCTTCCTTCTCCCTCTCATTCCCAGTTTTGTCCATTTTTGAATAATTTGAAATGGAAATAATAAGTAATCACGGAGATAGAAAGGCAATCAGTCCTTAATTTTTCATCATTACGTAGTGGCAGAGTTGCTGAACAGGTGTTTTAAATTACTTGTCTAGAATTTCTGATTGTATTTAACAATCCAAATCATTAGGTCTGAATGACCGTTCTTTTAAGCATGTCTTTGTTTCTTGCCTCTTGCTCTAGCCCTCCTCACAGATAGCAAAATAATGGAACATTAGGAAACACAGCTATGAAAGCAGATAAATCCTGCCTCCTCAGCATAACAAAGGGAGACTTTGCCTGTCTGTCACAGTAAAGGGAACAACTGCATATCTGTGTGCAAAGAAGTTATGGATTTCAGGCATCTTTTGGATAATTCAGTTTACAAACTCTTCTGATCCAGACTAGCCACATTAGCTTGATAGAGCTATCATTACATGTGATCTCTCTTTAATTAATTTTTTCTTTCTTTTTCAGCTCGCCATGAAGCACAAATGCTGAGATACTGTCCAAAGTTGAAATCTTCCCGAGAGAAACTGAAAAGGCTACATTCAGCAACTTTTACAGGAGATCCAGACTTCTGTGTGCTTTTTCCTTCCAGTTCAGTGGAGATGCATTCTTTCAGTTTCTGTGCAGGAAAAAGTGTTGCATTTCTACCTTTTCAACTTACTTTTGTTCCCCCTTTGTAATATTGCTACACAGTCCTGCAGTACTTCCTACCTGTATTTCAGTTGTTACAGGAGTGAAAGCAAACAGGGGAACTGGACCAAATGACAAGCTGATCAGGATTAAAATAGTAATATTTCTTCCCCAGTTGTACAGAAAATTATTTAACTGGTTGTGGACGTATGTATGGAAATAAAATCCAAAGAAAGGGTATACTTTTCCTCATTTTATGTAGCATCAGCAGAATGTGAATGTTGGAATTAAACACCTGGGTTTATAACTATAGTGGAGAACAGACTGCTTTGTCTGAGGAAACAGAAAACCTTGTTTCTTCTGCCCAATGTAGGAAATTTTGCATGTGCCATCACCAGCATTCAGAAGTGCATATCTGAGTTTCATAGGGGAATCTGTTACCAGTGCTGCATTTTGAATATTCCTGTTTTCCCTTCTGGATTGATTATTTGAATAGTATAATGAAACCTACAGAATGTATGCTTGAGGTTTCAAAATTGAAGAAAAAAGTAATTTTTACATCTATACACTCATAGCTGTGCCTCAAACACAATCTAGAATTTAGCAATCTGGTATAAAATAACATTTCATTTTCTTTTTACATGTGATTCTGTGGCTAAAGGCCTATGTAAAAGAGAATGCAAAAGCCTGGGAAAATAAGAATGCACTATTTTCCAAGTCACCTATTTTTCATAAATTCTACAGTAATTGCTTTTGGGAACACTTCAGAAATTTGTCTGATTAGAATGACTTTTGTGTTAGCTAATCGTGATTTTTAAAATAGAAGCTTTCAAAAAGCATGTCTTGGTACGTTAGGATCATAACTTTTAGTCTGGGTCTCAGTTTTCAATATATTATCACTGGAAGGTTGACTCCCTACTTCATTCTGTGTTCACTATATGCAATATATGCACTGTATTCTCTTACAAAAATAAGTAGGTTACTCTTTTCCTTCACAAGCTGTTTTCTTAACATTTTTTAAGATGTTCTAATATGCTTCTCAAATGAAGGAAAAAAAAAAAAAAAGATGCTGCACTTTTTTTTTTAACCAGTAAGCTAGAAACAGAAACCCTAGCAGAAGTTTCAGCCTTCATCTTCTGAAGATGCCTGCTCTTCGTTTTTGTCCTCATCTTACCAGAGAGCCAGAAAGCTGACATTATATGAATGTACTGTAGTTTTCATTTTCAGTGTAGAATAAGATTTTTGCATTATTAACGACACTTTAAACAGTAAAATCCTCAGAGCAGTGCTTGTAAGAGAGATAAAAGCTTCTGTAGTAATTGAGAATATTTTAGTTACTGCAAGCTGAAGTAACTGAAAATCTCTTGCAAATACCCATTTTGTAAAAAGATGCTTGGCTTTAGGAAAACATCCTTATTTGAACGAAGGACACTGTCTAGTTAACTGATTACATTCAAACTTTACATCTGTTGGATTTTTTTTCCTGTAATTTAAACTGTTTTGTATGAAGCTTTTTATTTAATTTCACAGTGGGAATTGAGAGAAGGGATAAATTTGTCATCTGTGTAGTACCATATGATCCTTTAGATCTATTTAGCATCAGCTCTAACAGTTACTACATCCAGCACCATCAACTGAAAAGGAATTTGGCCACATCTGTTATAAATCAGAACAGGCTCATTAGCAACATGAGTTCTGAACACTCCATTGAGCTACGTGCGATTAATGCTTGCCCTGGAAATGTCAGTAGCTTTCCGAGCGCTGTTGTAATGACTGTGGGCATTTCTGCAAATTAACCAGGAAAACAGTCCCTCATTAGAAATTAAACTTTTGCTAAAGACAAAATGTTAGGCTATTTTTTAAAAATAGCTTCATTAGAAATCAGTCAGGGAGTACATTTTTGACCACATAGCTATCTTCCGTCATTATCTTTTCCACTCTTACTTTTTAAAACTATATTCTGCTGCTAACCTCACAAGTCTTTCTCGTGAGAGAAAGAAGGAATAAGTTTCGAACTACTGCCATCTAGCTGGTCTTCTAAGCTTGTCAATAATTTAGAAGAAATGTCTAAAACCCAGATCAGATAAACCTGAAAAGAATTAGTTGTCTAAGTTCAGATAAAAAGGCATAGGTTTTCAGGTGTTTACATGAATATCAGCTGGACAGGACAAGGTCACAGTTGCACTGCTAAGTTCCAGACCTTTTGTGAGTTGAACTGTTCTAAAACATTACTTTAGTCCCACTGAGAGTTTTCAGCATTTTTTTTTTTACCCTCTAGTTAAGTGTATTGTGTTATGTATTGTAACTCAGGACTTCTATCCAACCATCAAAAGCCATTTACTATGGGAACTCTAAGTAACCTAGTGTTATTGAATGAAGGACAAGTGGTTTGTCTGTGTGTTTACTTTGTTCTTGCTGTTCATTAAACTACAAGATTTGGTAGTTTTTAGAAAAAAAAAAAATGAGGTGTATAAATGTCTATCCAAAGGTAAATCTTATAGCATTGCAATTTCCTTCTGGAACTTAGCTTGTAGTGTATACAACCTAGTGTTATTAGATAGTCATGTACATAACATATACTATAATTCAGGTTAATGTTTCATATGAAAGAATGTATTTGTAGATTGTAACAACATCAATAGTTTCTTTATCTTTTTAAAGTTCTGCAAAGAATAAAAATAATGTATTGTTAGACTTGACTACTGTACTGCAAACTGTCTTAAAAGGCTACTTTTGTGTCTAGCAAAAGTTGTGCATTATGTGAAATATTAACAAAAATGTGCTCTCTAAAAAGTGATCTTAAAGGTAGGTAGGTTTTGCTATGATATGCCAGAATTGTAATACTTGCTGGTATCTATTGTAACCAATTCCTTGAAAGTTCTCAGAGATGTAGAAATAATTTTGTGCCATTCTGGGGAAAAAAAGTGGGACCTGCTCTCTTGAGTCATTACTGAAAACCCTGATTTTGTCATTAAATACTTTAACTGTGATGAAAAGAAAACTGTCCTTGGATTATTTGAGTTGTCTATTCAAAATATAAATTATTTCTAAATGACACTTTTATATTTCACTCTAGCAGAATTATATTTCACTCTAGCAAAACTGAATAAAAATTAGTTTCTACTGTAATGATGAAAAAATTCTCTAGAAAGAATATTCTAATTAAAAAAGAAGTAATGGGAACTAGGTTGAAGGATTTCATGTCCAAGCAGATTCCAGACAACAGGTAACACAGGTTTAAGTTAGCATCCTACCTAAAAGCTGTACAGGTTAAAAAACTTCTGTGTTAATTTGCTTTCAATTTGCTATGAAATGCTTATTCTGAAATTGTTACTGTTTTCTTTTGGCCAAATAATATTTTTGATAAATTTTTATCAAAGTAAAAGCAATTTTAATTGCCCTATGGGAATAAAACTACGAAGGTAGAATTCTACACGCAGAGAAGCAATCCCATATATTCAAAAGAGGACTACTTGCAGAAGAATCGGATCAAATATGAACTGACTTCACTGCCATCTCTTTTTCAGGCTTAAACATGGTCTCTAAGATCCTAATCTCAAAAATGTTCTGTTGACAAATATTGTGAACTGGTTAAATTACTTTAGTTGCTAAGTAAATTTTGCTAGAATGCATGATGTTTAATGCCATACATGCCCAGTGCCCAAACTGTATGAAACTTATAGTAAAAGAAATAGATCTCTGGTGGATCAGAAGCAAACTTGATCAGAACTGCGTTTTGTTGTAGTTTACACATTACAATTTGGCAGTTCTTTTCCATTGTTATTGTACATTTATCCTGTAAAAAAAAAAAAAAAAAAAAAAAAAAAAAAAAAAAAATGTTTGGTTCATTTTCTGAGCATTTTTTTAGATCAATTTCACCATGTTGGCATTTTTTTCTTGATCTTATGATTTTCATAAATCATCAGCCTAATCTGCTGCTGTGTATAATTTATGATAGAGATGATGGGATTTTGTTTGTTATCTTTGAGTCATGGAAGAGGCTCAAGCGTGAATGTTTACTGATTCAATATATTAGGATTTCTAAGTAAAAGATATGCTAGTATGCTGAGTGCGTTGGAGAATATTGTTGCTGCCACACTCCTGAAGGCATAATATTTGACTGAGAAAATGAAACTAAGATGCCCATTGGCTAGGGATTATGGGCACAAAAAGTAATATACTGTTTATTTTCACAATGACTGAGCAATTCTAAAGTGAGTGTAAAGATAGATACTGTTACAATGAGGCATAGTAGGATGGCAGATTCTCAGTGTTAAGGCCAAGTATTCAGGGTATAAAAGGAAGCTTGTTAGCTAGGGAAGCTGGATGGCTTTAGAAGTGTAGAGAATAGGCATCTGACAAAGCTCGAATTGATATTTTAAATAATTTCACAGGTCTCTGGTAGCTAAAATAGTCTGGTAGCTAAAAACTGTTGCAGAGGAACTAAAGTTCAAGCCTGTATTGTGTTGAAATTTTGTTGCTGCTAAAGATGGAAGGACAAAGAGTTTTCTTCTGTCTTAAGTGTTCTCTTCTGGATAGAACGGAAGGGAAATGTGAGAAAAATAAACCAGAAAATTTTGAGAGTTTTTCATACTATGTTAAAAGGAAATCTTCGATATATGCGACTAATATTAATGAACATGCTCGTTTGCAGCTAAATCAGTGAGTTGGGGTTTTCTCCTATTTCAGAAAGAAGAGACACAGTAAAGCTTTGTTTGGATTAGCATGATCAGAAAATAAGGATTTCTACAAAAAGTGCATTTACTTGTGGGAAGTATTAAGATTTTAATGAGAATCCTTCTTTCCAAAACCTTTACCAGTTTTATTAAATACCACATCTAGAAACATTTATGACACCTGTGAGATCTTTAGTGTTGTAGGTATGGTTGGCACTCTGATAAAAGGCATTTAGCTTTAATAATAGATTGCAACATTAATTTGCTTGAGGCTTGTAAGAGTTTAGCTCAGTGAGAAGCATCCCAATATTGCTCTCTAGGGATAGTGTAAGCACTGTTCGTGCTGCAAATCAACAGCAGCTAAATTCTGAGGTGAGGGTGGGGAAGATGGGAAGGGTTGGAGACTTCTGGGTCACCATGTCAGCAAGTCAGGAGAGGTGATGAAGTAACCGCCAAGGGAGCCCTGTGATGATGCAGCTCCCAAGGAAGAGGACAGCAGTGGTGGAGGGCTTGCCATTAGTGTTTTCTTACAAGTGGGTAGAGAACCATCTGCAATTTCAGCAGCGAGTTCTAGGAAAACATCTTCACAACAGTACTGAGGGGTTTTAAACCTACTTACAGAGAAATGTGAGTACCTTTGTTTTTTATCTTACCTGTTCTTTTCTGTTGCTTCCCCATGTGCAGTTGTTCAGCATTTCAGACAAGCTGAAAACAGGTCCGTTAAAAGTTGGAGCACTCAAACTGCATGACAGGTACTATTCTTCACTGAGGCCATGAACAATTGCAGAGCTGCCAGTGTCTGACTGAAATTATAGCTGTACATATAGGATCATTTGTAAGACAGATGGCTGAGAAT